CCGATTTGCGACCTACCTCCCTACAGAAAAACTGGCAGGAGAAAACGGGGCAAAACATCGTCAAAAGGTCAGCCATACTTTGGTTATCAAATTAAATTATTTTCCGGTCGTCGATGTTTCTGGTGGGACGTTTCAGGTGAGTTTAAATAAAAGTAACGAGTTTCTTATCCAAAACGTGTGTTTGGGCCCTCTCTGATGAAAAGCGATGCTCATTAGGATGATGCGCCTTTTTATTCCGAATCGACATTCCTTTTTCAATTGATTGCCGTTTTCCCATAGTGAATCGCTCAACTGTGCACAGCATGGCGGTTAAAAATGTGTTGCAACTCATATTTCCTATTTGCGCCTGACATGGTCGCAAATAGCTCAAGAAGGGAAAGAAAGGGGAAAGAGAGAAATGAAAATGAGGTGTTGCTGAAGCTTGCAATGTGTGGCAGGGATGCCAAATGTCGTCACTGACTGCAGGGGTGCCGAATTCAGCGCGGACCTCGAATATCATGCGAGATAGCCCGCAAAATTTGGGTTTCCGCCTTCTTTTCGCCTTCGTTGCATCACGTGATCAGTTTTTACTTGCGTAAATGTGTTGGATAAACGTCCCTGTTCGAGTGATTGAGTGCTTTGCGTATAGGTTACCTTTTTGAGATCATATTTCATCTTTTCAGGCGTCGCATTTTTTTGCCATTTTTAATATGGGTAAACCCATAGACTTATTAGCGACCCTCCCCGGTCGCTAATCGGGAAGAGTTCTCTATTAGCGTTTTTTGCAATGTGTTGCCAAAATGCTCACTACAAATAAGTTAGTGAATATTGGGGCAGAAAATGACTATATTTTAATAGAAAAATGAACGATCTCTCTGAAAATCAAGCCAGTAATACAGTGGCACCCACAGAGCGTGAGCAATGACGGTTCAAATTAAGGGGGTCGCTAATTAGGCACCTTATCCTACAACTTGGCCATTTTTGAAGATAGGTAGGTATTCAGCTAAAACTTGCTAGGGTAGGTATAAGTCATGAGCATGTGTTCTATCACATGTAGGTATTCCGTTTTTTTTTTCGAAAAGGCAAAAAGTTAAAAAAATGAATTTTGTTATTAGGTATATGATTTTCAAAATTTTCAAACTTTTGAAAATCCGAGATAACAGTGTGATAGCGCAGTCTATTCTGAGTCCTCTCATGCAAAGAAATTGGATCTAGCTTAAAAACTGAGCTCTTGGGAGCGATTGCCGTGGTTCAATGTTTTGCGTCGAAATCGGCCGAGCATGACGTCACTCTGACGTCATTTCCGGCCGACATATTTTGACAAAAGGTGTCAATTTGATGCAGCCGAAGGTACTGAAAGTTTGGCGTCGATAGGTACGTCAAGCGGTTTGGAAGCTATTGCAGAAAAACGGGAGGGGGCTGGGCTATGAATACCCCCCCCCCCCCAGTGGGGCGCGGGTTAATGGTCCCCTACCTAAATACAAATCGGAAAGATGACCCAACTGCATTTTAGGGCGTTCTAAAAAAGACCGCCCTAAAATGCTTTTTAATGGACAAGGGCTCCTTAAATAAAATCGGAAAGATGACCTACCTGCATTTTAGGCCGTTCTTCCATATGGGAGCAGTTGCAACGCCGTGCAATGCACCGTTTTTCCGGAAAAAGGTACCTACAATCTGTCATTTAAAAGGTTTTTTTTGGGGTGGGGTCCGTTCTTTTGAGTTTTGATGGAATTTTAAGGGGGATATTCAACACAAGCGTGGTCGCATTGACCTATAACCCAGTTTCTATGGCTATAGCTCAACGTTGCAAATTGTGTTGTGTTGGATGTTGGCTAACTTCACGGACATTACCGCGTGTCGCTAGACGCTACGTGGCCCAGGAGTCGAGTTAGAATGGAGAGGGGGTGTTCACCCCCTCCTCGCAAGTACGGCGTGGCAATCCCTGAGCCCAAGCGGGTCGCGGACTTTATTAAAAGCGTCGCAAAAATCGCGTTAAAATTATGATAGACTTCATTTGCTACCTTTTCACTGATTTTGAGCAGAATCGAAGGATAGTCGATTTAAACTGCTTCTTATCATTGTGTACCTAAATGCGTAGGTATTATAGGTAGGTACTGGCGGTGGTCGCACTGACCGCCGGGTGGAGCCCGGCCGCGCCGTTTATTGTCTTACGCTGCGCGCTTTATATCCTGTCGAGTGGCGGCGCACTGGCGAGGTATTTTTGTTATTGTAAGGAACCGCGTCGGGGCCATTGTTATTGGTCGCTGCTGAGGACTGGCGGCGGCGGCTGGCACGGCCATCCCGCGGTATACGCGGCGGGTGTGGCACCGCGCCGGTACGTCACTGAGGCGCAGCGGTCAGCGGGGTCAGAGCGGTCACGTCCGGCCCGGCGGGGGTGTGTCCCCCGCAGCCGCAGGCCCCGCGCGAGGCGCGTGCACATCACTGAGGCAGGGGGAGGGGGGACGTCCGGCCCGCCGGGGGTGTGTCCGACCCTCCCGGCGCGTCCTCACCACTGCACTGCGCAGTCGCACCGGGCCGGCACTCACCCGAGGACGTCCGGGACGCTCCGCCACTCCAGTGCACCGCACAATGTAACCAGAGTCGGCGCAGACCTCAAAAGGACACGCGAGAAACGCAAGCGTTCCGAGAAAGTAGGTATGCACATTGCACAGTGCACTATGATGAAGGGTTTCCCTCTCACCACTGCTCCACGAGATGCTTTGAATAGCAATAAACAAAATATGAATTAGGGTGCGCAGTGTATGTACCCACAATCCACATACCTACAGCCTCTCTTGAAAGTTAAGCACGCACCAAGGCGCAGTGGTGCCAGCAAGTCCGACCGAGGCAGGGCTGCTAAGTTTGAGAGTAATCGAACCGTTTGACCTGGGGATGGATGAACATGTCAGGGAGGAAGAGGGCAGAGGAGGAGGAGGCCAAACCAATTTTAGTCGTCGGTTCACCGGTGCTTCCAATCCCCGTGTTTACCTATTACCCACAGATAGCGGCAGGGGCACTCCATCGAACGAGCGGGCCCCGGCTGCGCGCCGGCCAGTGGTCCCCACTCATCGCTGCACTCCGCGCGACTCCCAGTAGCCGTTTGTCAGCTTACATCTAAAATTGAATTCGGCGGCATCATTTACGGCGGTTAGGCGAGGAGGACGAGGCGCGGCGCGTGAGGACGAGGGAGGACGAGGCGCCGTTGGACGAGGGAGGACGAGGGAGGACGAGGCGCCGTTGGACGAGGGAGGACGTGGGAGGACGAGGCGCCGTTGGGCGAGGAGGACGAGGGAGGACGAGGCACGGCGCGCGCTTCAACGCTCTCCGCAAGACCATGGTGTCCCAAAGGGCTACTCAGCAGAACAATGCAGAGCTCCGGCAGCCATGGGACGCAGTGCTGGGCAAGCTGGTCCAGCCTCAGTCAGTGACTGTCAGCCCCAGTGGGTGCATGTCCCACCGGTATTCCCCCACTAAACGGTCTGCGCTCCACCGGTGCTCCGCTACTAACGGCTCCAGACAAAAGGTCGATTTCTTGAAAGCGCCCTAACAGGGGAGCGAAAGAAGTCTGAGGGCGTTGGCCCATGAAACACTGCTCGATCCATACCGCCCTCCAGTGAGGAAACCGGCAATTGAAACGCAGAGAGAACATAGACAGCATGTTCAGCAACCAAACATACAAAACATCGGCCACTGACAAACATTCCAATAACGGAGACAATGCCCAACATCAAACACCGAGCAAAGAACTAATTCTTCAACGAAACCCGTCAAGTGCATACAAGTTTAGTTTTACACCGCATAACCAACAAATGGAACACACCTGAGTATCAACGAAACAATGCTGATATGCCATTTGAAGACGCTCAAACGAAAATTGTTCCGCGAGGTCGCTGAGCTAAGGATGAAGCAAGCTACATTCGCCTATGGCAGTTTTCCAAGTCAGGCCACCATCCAGTTCGTTTTCGGACCAGCTGGGGCGACCTGTCACCGTCAGCTGGCGCGACCTGTCACGGTCAGCTGGCGCGACCTGTCCCGGTCGGGTCACACACAGTCTCCGAGCCGCCGCGCACAGGACGCGCACCGGCCCACCTCCTGGACCAGTCCGCTGTCCACCGGCCCGCACCCGGCCACCCGGGTGAGAGACCGATCACAAACACCAATCATCGACACACCGCGCCGCACCGACTCACCCCGGCCAACACACCGCGCCGCACCGACTCACCCCGGCCAACACACCGCGCCGCACGGACCGAGCCCCGGCCAACACACCCGCGCCGCACCGACTCACCCCGGTCAAAATACCGCGCCGCACCGACTCACCCCGGTCAAAATACTGCGCCGCATGGACTCACCCTGGCCAAAATACTGCGCCGCGTACAGCACGCGCTGCATCACCAGTGACAACCTGGCCTCTAACTCTACCCTGCTCTGCGACTACGGCCGGACCTCCGGCGCTGACTCTACCCTGCTGCGACTAGGGTGGACCTCCGGCACTAGCCCTACCCTGCTGCGACTAAGTATGGACCTCTATCACTGACTCTACCCTGCTGAGACTAGGGGTGGACCTCTATCTCTGAGCAGCTGTCGCAGCGCTCCACGGCCTGCGCTCGCCGCCCTGAAAGCTCTGCAGTTCATCAGCTCCCGTGCTGTGCCGAGGCGCTGGGAGGAATGTTTAGCTGAGCGTGTGCTTTGGTAGCCGGAGCGCGGGCCGTTGCTCAGACGCCGCCCTCCCCGTGTGTGAGGTAGGTGAGCGCACACACTGAGGAACGGTGCACTGGGGAGCCGCGGCGAGCCGGCGACACGGGCGGGAAACAGCGCGAACACATCAACCGGCACAGCCGCCGAGCGACTAGGGATAACACAACCAACAGATCATAGACGAAACCCAGCCCTCGACTATCACCACATAACGGTAAACTGAGTGGCTGACATCTTTGGCTCAGTGTTCTGAAGAGTCTTCAGTGAATCAGCAAATCCGTATTTCACTAGCTTACTAGGTGCTGTATGTTAAGGGCGAAGACGTCCAATTTGCTAGTTCTAGCTATTCTACGAAATAAAAAGGTACACGGCAAGGCGAGGCTAGGGCGCGGCAGTTCCGACGACCGTCAATGCGTGCACAGAACAGACGGGCTGAACAGGTTCAGACATCTGGTTCGTTGCTTCATCAACAGCCTGTTCATTCCACCTGAAAAAAAGAAAACGGTGGACGAAACAGCACAGGCCTAGACACGAAGACACATGGCTCGATGTCGAAACATCAACAAAGAGCAGACACTAGCATAGCAATGCAAAACATAATGAAGCATCAGCTGCCTCCATGCTAGAAGTTGTGTGTGATATTGATGAAATTCGACCCCTCAATTACAGTGATGTTTGGCTACTCATTAGTGCAGAATCGTGCGGCCATCACAATTCACAGTCACCTCTGAACACGTCTCAGCCGAACACAGCAGCTTGCTCAAAGTCCAGCCGACAGTCGGATCCTATGCAACCGGGATCCTACATGTACTGTATACCGCCGACTGACCTGATTTCTATTCCATCGAGCCGTTTCCATGTGCTGTTACGCGACTATCAGCGATCTCCTGGCGGCCGCTGCTGGGGCAACTGAAACAGATGAGAAATGATACAACCGATCGGCCAGCCAGCACTCGCTGAAAAAATAACTACACTACAATATAACAATATTCTAGACTCTAGAATCTAGAGCATGTAAAGCATGCAAAAAGACAGACCATTTAAATCTCACAAAACAGAACAGTACAGATTATCAGTAGGATTAATGCACAGTTAACATGAAACAGTGTAGACGACTTGACAGTTGAAATGCATTAGGCAATTTTCAAATCCACGAAACAGTATATTCATAAAATCCGGCGGCTGGGCGATACGACCCTCACTGACCGACTCACAGCTGCCGGCGCTGCTGACGGCCGGTGGGACGGGCGGGCCGCCAGCTGACCGGCTCAGAGCTGCCGGGTGAGCCGCCAGCTGCCGGCGCTGCCTGAACTGCCGGTGGGCCGGGCGGGCCGCCAGCGCTGCCTGAACCGCCGCCGCCCGCTACCTGTCGGATCCCGCTACCAGCGCCATCTGACCTCTCCATCACTGTGCAAACACCGGCTCCTAGCCAATCCAGCCAGCGCTCCCCCACATCTGCAATACAAAAAAAAACAATGTTAAGAACAAAATCATCCAGGCAACGGTGTAACAATGCCGCGCACCGGCAGACTGCTATTTCTTAGGGTGGCATGGTTAAATGCCAGGATAAAAGGGCAGGTTATTTTTAATGAACTCTGAAGCACACTAGCCTGGAAGTGCAACTATTCAAGTTACTAAACTACCGTTGGGAGCATTCTTAAAAAGGAGAGAAGCTATTAAAATTCTTACTTGATGGTAAAAACAAAATGAAGCCCATCAAAGTAGAGTGCCGTGTCCCGTCGTGTCCACCCGTCCCCAGTCCCCATGTCCCGTGCCCGGTCCCCCATGTCCCGTACCTACCCGGTCCCCATGTCCCGTGCCCGGCCCCCCATGTCCCGTGCCCGGTCCCCCATGTACCGTGCCCGGTCCCCCATGTCCCGTACCTACCCGGTCCCCACGTCCCGTCCCCAGTCCCCCATGTCCCGTCCCCCCCCCATGTCCCGTACCTACCCGGTCCCCCACGTCCCGTTCCCTGTCCCCCAAGTCCCGTTATACCGCCACTATGTCCCTCCCGGGTCCCCCATTCCTCACCCGCTAGCCTCGCTGCGGCCCTCCGTGCCCGGCGCCCGGGCGGCGTCGTCAGCAGGCCCCGCGCAGAGGCTTGGTCAGCTCCAGCAGCACGGGCAGGTGCAGGTTCGGGTCAAAGGTCGGGTCGGAGCGGTGCTGGGGAGGGGAGGGGGTCACACTCGAGGTCAGCAGTGTACGCCGGCCAGACGGCGGCACCATAGAACATATCAGCGCATTGCAATCCATCTCAACCGACCCATTCTGTTAAAAAAGAAACCGACCCATTCTGTTGAAAAATTTTCACCGCAGGCCGGCTGTGGCCCGCTGCACCGCGCAGTGACGGTAACCTTACCGGCTGTATCAGATCCCGCTGAGCCGCGCACCATACAGAGTACATACTGTATCAGATCCCGCTGTACCGCGCCATACAGACTGTTTCAGATCCCGCTGCACCGCGCACCATACAGACTGTATCAGAGCCCGCTACACCGCGCGCCATACAAACTGTACCAGAGCCCGCTGCACCACGCCGTACAGACTGTATCAGATCCAGGGTCTGTACGTCCAGGGCCGTACAGACTGTACCGGATCCCGCTGCACCGCGCGCCTTACCGACTGTATCAGCGAGTCCAGGAAGGGGCCGTACTGCTCCATTCGGCTGACGAGCAGGCCCGAGCGCAGCGCCTCCAGCGCGAACCGGTCCAGCGTGCCGCTGCGAGGCGGCGCCACCACCAGCGCCACGCCCTGGCGGCACAGCACGGTACACCGTCAGTTACACAGTCACTGTTACACAGTCAGCTACACAGCCCTGACAGTACACAGTCAGTTACACAGCGCCACGCCCTGGCGGCACAGCACGGTACACAGTCAGTTACACAGTCAGTTACACAGCGCCACCCCCTGACGGCAAAGCACGGTACACCGTCAGTTACACAGTCAGTTACACAGCGCCACCCCCTGACGGCACAGCACAGTACACCGTCAGTTACACAGTCACTGTTACACAGTCAGTTACACAGCGCCACGCCCTGACGGCACAGCACGGTACACCGTCAGTTACACAGTCAGTTACACAGCGCCACCCCCTGACGGCACAGCACGGTACACCGTCAGTTACACAGTCAGTTACACAGTCAGTTACACAGTCAGTTACACAGCGCCACGCCCTGGCGGCACAGCATGGTACACACAGTCAGTTAGGTACACAGTCAGTTACACAGCCCTGACAGTACACAGTCAGTTACACAGCCCTGACAGTATACAGTCAGTTACACAGTCAGTTACACAGCCCTGACAGTACACAGTCAGATACACAGCCCTGACAGTATACAGTCAGTTACACAGCCCTGACAGTATACAGTCAGATACACAGCCCTGACGGCATACAGTCAGTTACACAGCCCTGACAGTATACAGTCAGTTACACAGTCAGTTACACAGCCCTGACAGTACACAGTCAGATACACAGCCCTGACAGTACACAGTCAGTTACACAGCCCTGACAGTATACAGTCAGTTACACAGTCAGTTACACAGTCAGTTACACAGCGCCACGCCCTGGCGGCACAGCACGGTACACCGTCAGTTACACAGTCAGTTACACAGTCAGCTACACAGCCCTGACAGTATACAGTCAGTTACACAGTCAGTTACACACTGCACAGCCCTGACAGTATACAGTCAGTTACACACTGCACATCCCGACAGTATACAGTCAGTTACACACTGCACAGCCCTGACAGCATACAGTCAGTTACACAGTCAGTTACACACTACACAACCATGACAGCATACAGTCAGTTACACAGGGCCACGCCCTGCCGGCATGATACACAGTTACACAGCGCCACCCCCTGACGGCACAGCACGGTACACCGTCAGTTACACCGTCAGTTACACAGTCAGTTACACAGTCAGTTACACAGCGCCACGCCCTGGCGGCACAGCATGGTACACACAGTCAGTTAGGTACACAGTCAGTTACACAGCCCTGACAGTACACAGTCAGTTACACAGCCCTGACAGTATACAGTTTACACAGTCAGTTACACAGCCCTGACAGTACACAGTCAGATACACAGCCCTGACAGTATACAGTCAGTTACACAGCCCTGACGGCATACAGTCAGTTACACAGCCCTGACAGTATACAGTCAGTTACACAGTTACACAGCCCTGACAGTATACAGTCAGTTACACAGCCCTGACAGTATAGGTACAGTCAGTTACACAGCCCTGACGGCACAGCACGGTACACCGTCAGTTACACAGTCAGTTACACAGCCCTGACAGTACACAGTCAGTTACACAGCGCTGACAGTACACAGTCAGATACACAGCGCTGACAGTATACAGTCAGTTACACTGAAGCGCTGACGGCACAGTACAGTACAGTCAGTTACACAGCCCTGACGGCACAGTCAATTTCGTTCTGACGGCACACATCCAGTTACACAGCCCTGACGGTAGTCAGTTATACAGCGTCCTGACGGCACACAGTCAGTTACACAACCCTGGCCCCTGACGGCAGTCAGCTACACAGCACCACGCGGTGGTGTGGCGGAGAAACTCAGAAAGAGATGGCGCCGAAGTAATCAGCGTGCTCGCATCAAGTCAGCATATATCTGACCGCTATCAGTTCAGCGACTGCAATAAGCAGGGGTCGGGCGCACTTACCCCGGGCCTGAGCACAGCCACTATGAAATCAGCCAGAGAATCACGCGCGTCGTCGAAAAACAGGCTGTGGGCGAAAGAAGGTGTTAATAATTGTTAATGCATAATGGATTATTCTTGTAAGGCAATCACTAAAGAAGGAACCAAACCTTTTACAGCATTTACTTATAAAAATATATAATAGTTGATTAAAAAAAACAACAGAAGCCTTTTTGACGGCGGATACGCTGAGCGCGGTATCAGAGCCGTCTGACACTGGTCACTGGCGGCGCGGTATCAGAGCCGTCTGACACTGGCCACTGGCGGCGCGGTATCAGAGCCGTCTGACACTGGTCACTGGCGGCGCGGTATCAGAGCCGCGTGACACTGGCGGCGCGGTATCAGAGCCGTCTGACACTGGCGGCGCGGTATCAGAGCCGTCTGACACTGGCGGCGCGGTATCAGAGCCGTCTGACACTGGTCACTGGCGGCGCGGTATTAGAGCCGTCTGAAGCTGGCGGCGCTGTTCCGGCCAGTCATGGCCAGTCGCAAGGGTCAAAGAACGCCGGCAGGCCACAGACGGATCACAGAACCCCAGCGGGTCACAGAGGGTCACAGAGCCTCGGCGAGTCACAGCGGGAGAGGGCCAGTGGATCGAAGCGGTCCCCAGAGCCCCAGAGCCCCACAGCGCAACTGAGGGCCACCGGGCCACAGGGACCACCGGGCCGGTGAGGTCGCCGGGCTACTGACCAGTCGGCAGACAGGATGACGTCACACTGAGGTCGCCGGGCTACTGACCAGTCGGCAGACAGGATGACGTCACACTGAGGTCGCCGGGCTACTGACCACTAGTTGGCAGACAGGATGACGTCACACTGAGGTCGCAGGGCTACTGACCACTAGTCGGCAGACAGGATGACGTCACACTGAGGTCGCCGGGCTACTGACCAGTCGGCAGACAGGATGACGTCACGGTCACACTGAGGTCGCAGGGCTACTGACCAGTCGGCAGACAGGATGACGTCACATTGTGGTCGCAGGGCTACTGACCAGTCGGCAGACAGGATGACGTCACACTGAGGTCGCCGGCCTACTGACCAGTCAGCAGACAGGATGACGTCACACTGAGGTCGCCGGGCTACTGACCAGTCGGCAGACAGGATGACGTCACACTGTGTTCGCCGGGCTACTGACCAGTCGGCAGACAGGATGACGTCACACTGAGGTCGCCGGGCTACTGACCAGTCGGCAGACAGGATGACGTCACACTGAGGTCGCCGGGCTACTGACCAGTCGGCAGACAGGATGACGTCACACTGAGGTCGCCGGGCTACTGACCAGTCGGCAGACAGGATGACGTCACACTGAGGTCGCTGGGCTACTGACCAGTCGGCAGACAGGATGACGTCACACTGAGGTCGCCGGGCTACTGACCAGTCGGCAGACAGGATGACGTCACACTGAGGTCGCCGGGCTACTGACCAGTCGGCAGACAGGATGACGTCACACTGGTCCTGGAGCGCCGCCACGTCGGCCGGGTCGGTCCAGCGGAGCCGGCTGAAACGGGGCGGCGGGTCAGACAGGTCACCGGGCACCGGGCACAGGTCACAGGTCACCAGGCACAGGTCACCGGTCACCGGGCACAGGGCACGGGTCACCGGTCATAGGTCACCGGGCACAGGTCACAGGTCACAGGTCACCGGTCACGGGTCACCGGGCACAGGTCACGGGTCACAGGTCACGGGTCACAGGTCACGGGTCACAGGTCACAGGTCACGGGTCACAGGTCACGGGTCACAGGTCACAGGTCACCGGGCACAGGTCACGGGTCACAGGTCACAGGTCACCAGGCACAGGTCACCGGTCACCGGGCACAGGGCACGGGTCACCGGTCATAGGTCACCGGGCACAGGTCACAGGTCACAGGTCACCGGTCACCGGTCACCGGGCACAGGTCACCGGGCACCGGGCACGGGTCACCGGGCACACGTCACCGGTCACAGGTCACAGGTCACCGGGCACAGGTCACGGGTCACCGGTCACCGGGCACAGGTCACCGGGCACAGGTCACCGCTCGGCAGTCCCGGAGGTCAACAGGAGCCAGGCTGTGCCGTGCGACTGACGTCTTTGGGGTGGGGCCCGTTGCACTTGAAGAACAAAAGGTCCCCAAGTAATAATATGTAGCGATCAGTCACACGGCCTCGGCGAGTCGTCGCCTCTAAGTCCGAGTTCGAGTCAATGGGTCGAACTCCGAATCTGAGTCAGTGAGTCCGAGTCACGCCCGTACGTCGTACACTGATTAAAGGTATAGTTTGTAACCGTCTCGCTCGTTTGTTGCATGCCGATTATAAGGGAGAGTCCGAAACGCCCTTCACTCGGACGTTCTTGCTGTGTGTCCGTGCTGTGTGTCCGAGCTGTGTGTCCGTGCTATGTGTCCGTGGTGTAGGTATACCCGTCGTGTGTTCGTGACGTCTGACCGTGCTGTGTGTTCATGGTGCAACTGCATATCCGTCCAGTGTCGTGCTGTGTGTCGTTCAGTGTGTTCATGGTGCATATCCGTCCTGTGTCGTCCGTGCTGTGTGTCTGCCCCGTGTGTCCGTTCTGTGTGTCGGTCCAGTGGTTTCGTTCCGTGTGTCCGTGCTATGACGTGTCCGTGCTGTTTATCCGTGCTGTGTATCCGTGCTATATGTCCGTGATGTGGGTCCGTTCTGTGTGTCGGTCCAGTGGTTTCGTCCTGCGGGTCCGTGTTGTCTCCGTCCACTGGTTTCGTTCTGTGGGTCCGTTCAGGTCCGTCCGTAGTGCTGTGTCTCCGTTCCGTCACTAACTCCGTCCACTGGGTCGGTTCGGCGACTGGGTCCGGCGGGCCGGGGTACATACACCCACTGCGGCTGGGTCAGTGGGCCGGGCCCGCTCCCCACTGCGGCTGGGTCCGGTGGGCCGGGCCGCTCTGCGCGGCACACCCACCCACCTGACGTCCACGGCGGTGGCGCCGAACAGCGCCCGGTTGCGCTCGCAGATGCAGCGCACGTTCTGCACAGCCGTCTCGTTGCCGTCCGTGAGCAGGACGCGCCGCGCCGCCGTATTGGCCGCCACCTGCCAGCGATAGCAGCCGTCGGCGGCGTCAGAACACGCCGTCAGTGTCCAGCCGGGGGGCAACTCTGGTTGGCCACTCCGCGCTCCACGGGAGTACTTGACGCGAGTAACTGAGAGCGCTGCAGAGCGCCCCCCGTCCTTTGTTCAAAAGTACTGGTCCAATACTGAAAATTCAAGCATCATTCGAAAGTCACGGGAGAAGCTGTTGAAAGAAGACAATTTTGCCGATGTCATGATGTCACAGACCGGGCCAAAATTAAAATTATTCACATTTTGGCAGTTCATGCTCCGACCGCTGAATAAGTTAGATAAAGCTCAGTTATGGTTCCACCACTCGGCCATGTATGGTGAAAGGGCTGACCCTGATGTCGGACAGAGACACAGATCATGCCGCCCCTCCCCTTTCCGTAGCTCACCGTCAGGCCGGCCAGGCACGTCATGCCGCCGCCCACCTCCAGCACCAGTTTGTCGTCGAAGAGGTGCGGGCGGGCGGCGCAGAGCACCGTCAGTACCTCCTCCGAGGGCCACACGCCTGCCAGCAGCGGCGCACACAATACACAATACACATACACATACACAATACACATACACATACAGAGCACCGTCAGTACCTCCTCCGAGGGCCACACGCCTGCCAGCAGCGGCGCACACAATACACATACACAATACACATACACATACACATACAGAGCACCGTCAGTACCTCCTCCGAGGGCCACACGCCTGCCAGCAGCGGCGCACACAATACACATGCACAATACACATACACAACACACATACACAATACACATACACATACAGAGCACCGTCAGTACCTCCTCCGAGGGCCACACGCCTGCCAGCAGCGGCGCACACAATACACATACACAATACACATACACACTATACACAATACACATACACAATACAATACACATACAGAGCACCGTCAGTACCTCCTCGAGGGCCACACGCCTGCCAGCAGCGGCGCACACAATACACATACACAGCTGCGTACACAGCACACATACACATACACAGCGGTGTACACAATAGACATACACAATACACATACACAGCGACATACACATTACACAATACACATCACACGATACATTGCACAATAGGCATACACAGCGTCATGCGCACTACCTATACACAGTAGAGAGGTCAATTTTTAAGTTGCGCTCTCTCTCTCTCTCTCCCTCTCTTCGTACTTATTTCATTGGTCATTGTGAGTGCTTCCATAAAAATAAGCCATTTTTAATAATGCTTAGAGGTGTCGCAAAAAGTCGATTTTTTCGCTACTAACCACTGACCAAGCAACATGTTTATGTTGGAAAAAAACTGCGTAGATCGGTACGAATGCTCACGCACGTTGCAACTCTCATGATATCGTGTCAAATACACAACTGAACAGATCTGAGAAAAATAACATTGATAGTGAAAAAAAGAACTGGACCGGTCGCCGATGACATTCCTCACACAGGTAATAAAGACATTTAACTCGTTACCGTACCGATCATCATCTTCTATCCAGCTAGTTGGCGTGCGAAAACAGTTTTTGGCCGCAGTCAGTCACTGCATCAATCCTCACTCTCTGGCTGGTGGACATTGCCCTCGGTAACATAGGTAATTAGCAATATTATCCAGAAGAGCACTTACCCATTGGAGCTTCCGCCTCGGGCTGAAGGGCTTAGACGAACGGGAAGTGGAATCTGAGAGGCTGAGATTTCTACTCATATCGCCTGAGAATGGCCTTCGTGGGATAGGAAACTCCTTGCGGTATTTTGTGACCAGGAGCAGCAGACAGTTCAGTTTCTTTCACTCAATGTGAGGTACCAACGGTGATTCTGCATCCACGCGCTTCCCCCGTTGTTGACGACCTTGAGTCTGCGCCTTTTCCTCGAACGCAGTCAGCGTCCAGTTGGCTGCGTGGAGAATCAGTTCCATCAGCAGGAGGCTCACCTGCTCCTCTTTTTGGCTGCCTGCTCAGTGAGAGCAGATCAAAGCTCCATCGAAGGGGGCTGACAACGGTCTCCCAGCCACGAAGGCCATTCTCTAGCGATGTTTTTCCTCCCCATCCATGGCGCCCTTGGGCATGGAAGAGGTAACAAAAACAAAAGGCATGCACACGTCCATTCACAAGCAAAGCGATCCGGCCCAAGCAGAAGCTGCGTCGTATGTTCATGCGAAAAGGAAGCCGCTCTGTAGGACTGCCGAGCAGAAAGACGAACATGTCCGCGTATCGTTACATGTAGCTAGAGTCCCTGCATAAAATATCGAGTTAAAAAAGTAGTTACGTGACGTGGAATACAGTGTGTGCGGGCTGCCGTGGGTCTGGATCATGTAATATCATTTTCGGAAATCGCTTACGGTCTCTGCCTGATAGACTACTAGTAAAACACGGTGGTTGTTGACGGCAAGCGACTAACAATACAAAAATCTGAGCCACTGCCTCAACCATCGGCAGCATTCAGACCGGCTCGGCGGGGAGTCAGCGTGCTTGTGTATACGCGAGTGTGTGCTAAGACGAACGGAGATACATACAGCGCAGAAACTTCATCAATAATATTAAATTGATCATCCTTTGGTCCGCAAGAAAGCATATCTATGCTGTGCTACGCAAGCGCATTGACACTTATTGATCACTGCTCAGAAAAAAGCAAAAACATAAAAGAATACGTGCGTAAAACTTGTAGCCATCAGCATTTTAAAACATTTAACAATACTCATTTAATGAAGTGAAGCAATGATGCACATTGGTACTTGACCACGAGCGACTTGACTCTGCGAAAGCAGCAAGCAGTGCAGATATCGCGCGTATATACCATGTAGGGGACAAATCGAGAAGGCTGCAGAATGAGCCAAAAGTCGGCGCCGCTCGGGACATGCCAGCTGAAAATGGCCGCTGATTACTGTTGGATGCGCCGTACACATATGAAGTCGGCAGCCGCCTGGCCGTGCGGTGTGACAGTCTGGACGACTTACTGCGCGGCCGTCGCTACTTACACACGTTTCCCGTGTTGTTAAAGCCGACCAGGTCGGAGGCACTGAGCCGGCGCTCAACGTGTCTGAAACAGGGTCACGCCGGGTGTGACGCCGGGACGGCACGGCGGCAGAGAGGCGGACAGAGCGCGCGCGGAGAGCGAGTTAGCAGCCAGCCACACCCGCCCGCCGAGACCGGGCGCCCAGCGCAGCGTTACACCCGCAGCGGCAGCCGATTAGTGCCCAGACAGACGCCGGCCAGGGGAGGCGGGCCGCCCACCTGATCTGCAGGCCCGGCCCGGCGCCGCCCGGCAGCCGGTACGTCATCCACGGCCCGTCGGCGTCGGCGTCGGCGCCGCTCACGTCGAACACGCCCAGGCTCTGGAACTGGCGTACCACAGAGCGGCTGCCGACCGGCGCCTCGCGGCGGCGCAGCGCCTGCCGGCGGGCACAGGGCACACGGTAACTACAGGCTCAGGGCACACGGTCACCGCCGGCGGGCACAGGGCACACAGTCACTACAGGCTCAGGACACACGGTCACTGCAGGCTCAGGACACACAGTCACCGCCGGCCCAACGGCCCGGACACAGGGCACACGGCCACCACTGGCGGGCACAGGGCACACAGTCACCGCCGGCGGGCTAGAGGGACAGAGCAGCCACAAAGGACTTTAAGGAGTGGACAACTTGATAACCTCCATAGTCACTAGCCACAGATGGACACGAGGCATTGCAGCCATGGTCATCACCTCAGAGCACCTACGAGTCAGCCACTGTCATAGGTACCACAGCTGATCACTGAGTTGATCCAGTGTTCCAGAACTCTCAAAGCTGGGAGGTATCCCTAGTTGGGGTGAAGGTGGTGCTATTCAGAGAAAGTGTCAGCCCTGGCTAACTCCTTCTTACCTCAGAAAGTACCATCCAATGTCGTTTTGACTTCATTTAGTGGGTACAGGCTGAAAGAAGTGAGTTCATTAACCTGCGCCCCACTGGGGTCTGTGTATAACACGCCCTACTGGGGGAGGGGGGGAGGGGCTATATTTCATAGCCCCCCTCCTAACTCTGAAACTACTGGGCCGATCGTCAAAATTCAAACGGCATCTGATAGACCCCGAAAAACTGTCGAACGAAACCTAATTTCATTGACCTCGAGGTCACCGATGACGTCACAGGTCAGGTCAAAGTAAAAATTATTGATATTTGATTTGTTCACATTTTGGGCTCTGGCTCCGCCTTAAAAGTCAGATCAGATATCAACAAGGCATACAAGTCAAAAATGCTGTTTTCTTTGCGGTCAAAAAGTATATAATTTTCATCAACTTCTACCAGACTGGAAAAATTCATATGCATCGTCCACTGAACTCTATAATGGCAACGTCAACGTATGACGGCTAAGGGACTCGAAACTCGGAGGCGGAGCAAGCGATTTTGCGCCAAATTTTCAGAACAATTCGCGCCAAGAGTTGAAGCACGTTATTTGTGCAAAATCTGAACCTTTTGTGCCATAGTAAATACGTCCTCGGGCGAATTAAATCTTTTATCAATACCACCCAAGGCCAAGGCAATATGTACTGTTTTGGTTAGTGTCGTTAGTGTTCTTGCTTTTCCGTGTAAATTTATAAAATAAAAGTTCTGTTCGGTCTTTACTTTTTTTGCTACCAATAATAACACTTCTCGGCATCTCATTTGTCAATAGCACAACTCATATGAATTCCACCAATGAAAAGTCACTAAATGCCAGCGAGCTCGCAGCGAACTGGCAATGAAATTGCGATCGAACAGTATAAAGTAAAGGAATTCACTGGCGCAGCAGAGGCAATACTGGCGTAATTCAGGGGACAAAAGTACCACCAGTACCACATAGGTACTCGGGAAATATTTATATCAAGAAATACCAATAACCGTTTTTAAGTATATTACTTTTCACAAAGTATTTCGAAAAATCTCACTCACACCAAAATAAGTTAAATTGATTACAAAATTTACATTTGTTACATCCTATCAAACATTGTTTTTCATTTTTTTGTCATCAATTTCATTTCTGACCATAGATATACAGTTTCTGACCCTCAGAATTATGCAATAAATGCATTTTACAGCATGTGTACCCGGATTTACAGATACTTCAAACATCAATTAAATTGATACTTCTGGAAAATGTTTGAGGTATTTGTTTACATTCCCATCTCTTTACCAGACAACGGCGTCTTCTTTATGCCTTTACGAGAGTTCACTTGAGTTTGGGGTGCGCGGAGGTACGCGCGAGGTGTTGTGCCGACTCTGTGGGTACCAAAACTCGAGTTTTGGTGAGTGGGGGTGTGCTAGTGCTTAACTTCTTAGAACATTCGTGAAAATATTGAATTCTCACTCTGGTGGCGCTTTTTCAATCGGCTTGGTGTGTGCACGCTCCCGTTATCGTTTTGGGTGTTGGTGTAGCATCAGCGTTTCGGTTTCAGTCTGTGATTGTGATAATCTGTGTTTTATTTTCGTTTGAAGCTCAAGCATCTGTAAGTGAAGCGTCAGTGGGGTCCCACACTATGGGACAAACCTCTCTGGAGTGGCCCCTGCTGGGGCTGCTTTGCCTATTCTTCTTTGGTGAGTACCTGCCCTTCTGCCCCGCTATTTTGTTATTGAAAAAGAAAATGCAGATTGCAATTTTTTGTTCAAATGTTCAGTAGTCTTGAGATACATTTGATGATGTATTAGTAAATAATAAGTAAATGTAATTAGAAGACAGGGTGAGGAGCGTATGCGATGCCTCGCCATGGGCCCATGTCAATGTGGCATGGATTAGGACTAGGTATTCCGGTATTCCGATCCCTAGCAGGTGTGGTTGAATCAGGATGCATGTGACATTTATGACATTGATTGCATATTGTATAAGTGTAAGTTCAAAGATATTGCTGGCTTGATAAGTTGTATGATGTATGTCATAACACATAGTAACAGAAAATCTATATCCTTTCATTCTCGTTTGAGTCATTGACTTGTGGGAGATATGTACCTTTTAAAGATAATGTTATTTTTCCAAAAACAACAATGTTAAAAGGTTAAGTCATGCGATAGCAGTCATGCACCCATGCCTAACGAGTATGTTCATTTTTAGTAAGGTATCAGCTTTACTGATTGAAAGTTGGGACTGTGGTTGTAGGCTGTCATTCACTGAACATCTTCAAAGCCCATCTAGATGCCCACTGGGGCCCTGGGCTCTGCAACAGTACTCGGCACAGCCCACAGCAGAAGTAATGTGCAATTTCAGTCATGGGTATGTTCTGCTTCTGAAGCTTAGGAACGATAAACCATAGTAAAATGAAACCTTGAATGTAGCTTACATGCATCGTCACCCTTGCAGCTGCAATTTTATCTATTGACTTCTTTTCGATCTTCTTTTCGATCACTCCGCATTAAAAAATCGCCAGTCAAAAGCATCCGTTGATATTGGCAACACCGCACATTACTTTAGCGGTGGGCTGTACCTGACAGTGACTGAGTAGAATCAGGACGGAACATCTGAGCTGGTTGAGAGGGGAACGCCCAGGCTTTATTGTATTTGCATATCGTGCACTAAGCACTAAGGGAAGTTGAGGTAAGGCATTAGGGGTACCTACCTATATGACTGCCATCTTGCCATGCAGCCAGGCGCGTAACCACGAGTCTGAAGTTACTGGGGACCACATGGAGGGCCGCCAAGACCAAATATGATATTTCAGGATCAGCCTTCGCCTGAGTGTGTGTGTGTGTGGGGGGGGGGGGGAGGTGGGGGGCGTTTTTTGGCCACACCTGCCAGCTTTTTTTGCGCGTTTAAGGAAAACCTCGGCGCGCACCGCCATGAAACTTGGTATGGCTTATGATACCTCAATTTCGCATCGTGTGTGAAGATTTTGACCCCAGGTCACCTAAGGTCAGGTCACCAGGGCAAGTAAAGTAATCATGCCTCTAAAAACTTTGTGACTATGTCATTCCTATAGTTAACATCCCAGAAGTTTGAAACTCGAGCTTTTACTTGAGGACATCAGTATGAAAAATTCGTATACGTATCTCAAAGTTTTCACATCGGTGACCTAATGTCAGGTCAATTTTACGACCTCTACATTATAGGTCATTGGGAGAAACTTAAAATGCTCTTCTTTTGGCCGAAAACACATTCATACACCGTGACACAGGTAAACATGACACACTGAACCGGAAAATTGCACCTGTGACCCCTCTATGCCCCTCAGCTCATCTTAGGTCATGAAACATCTCCAACAGTTTTTTTTTACCACAATTTTAGGTAGAAACATGCTAGGGCGCTGAAAACATCATGAATGTGTTAAGCTCAACAATACCAATCAAATGACATGCAACATAACCTTTTTCCGTAACCTGGGCCAGGGGTTAAATTTTAAAGTTGACCTTTTCAGTTCATTCGACGCGTCTCGACGAGACAAACGCGATGCCGGTAAAATCAGCGTCATACAAAGTGTATGATGCAAAAACCTTTTCCGCAAAAACGCCGGCCTGGAAGCTAAAACGTTGACCTTAGGACAAACCTGAGAACATTACTCAGGAAGGCCTTTGAAAGCGCTATCGAATGCGCTTTCCCGCAGCATTGCAGCTCTATTGGTTCCTGACTTATGCGCCGATTTATGTAAAGTTGTCAAAATTGGGAACAACATTTCGTGAAAATTTTACATTTGGTGACCTGCAAAGACCTCAGCGATGACCTGCTCAAAATATGATGTAGGTAATTCTGAAAGATACGAGTACTGTAGCGAGCTATCTGTTGCTTTTTACCTCGTCTTTCTAGCTTGCTTACTTTCCGAGATAACCTGGTTGGCCAAAAAAAAAACTTCCCCACCATGGCAAAGTTGGCTGAGAGGCCCACCCGGGCGCTGGTTAAACAAAACATCCATAGTTTTGTCTTACGTTGACTACATATTACTCTTCACGTCGATTTAGAGACAATATTTCGCCATGTAAGCAAATTGAGGTGGTCAGTTTTACTGGGGACGGTCCCCAGTAACCCAAAAGTTACTGGGGACCGGTCCCCAGTGTCCCCAGTGGTGGTTACGCGCCTGCATGCAGCAGCTGCAGTTAGTGGTAATGCCGCCCCTTGGCATTGACTCAATTCAACATTGGAGTCGTAGGTACTCGCTGACATGAAGCTTGCCCACCTGATCGTGCCTGTTGGCCCTTATATGTCCAAATGGTCCTCTGAAACATGAGCTTTTGTGTGAATCCTATTATCCTGTTTCATCTGCATCTTTAATTCAATTTTATTGAGTCGCTTTAGGTATTATAATAAAGCTACAATGTTTCATCTAATTTAAAGTAGGTATTGCCTCATTCCATACTGCTCATACACAAACCGTATGATGCTGCCAGGCGAGCTCGGTGCATGTTTTAGAGCCTACAGAGGCCAGAGTTGGACGGAGTAAGACCGTTTTGTAGCCTGCGGCCGTCCGAACTCGGAACGGTCGGCGCGACGGAGGTGCGTCAGGGTGTCTGCAGTCTGTGACTCTGTACCCGTCCGTCGTGGAGTGCACCTCAACCACTGCCCTGGGTCGGCCGGGCAGACTGGCAGCCTGGCAGCGCGGCTGGCAGACTGGCAGCGCGACTGGCAGACTAGCAGCGCCAGCGCGGCTGGCAGACTGGCAGCGCGACTGGCAGTCCGAGGTGCCGCCTTCGGCTACCGTCCGCTGCTTCTGTGAGCGCGCCCTCCAGCACACGCATGGCTCCACCCTGTGGGCTCCGCTCTACCGCACCTCACTGTTATGTATATGCGACGTATATTCAGTGTGCCAGCTTGATGTTCTGACTTTCAGACGACAAACGGTTACATTTGGCGTTCTTAGGTGTTGTTTTTATCCGCTGGGACTGAGAGCGTTACGCTGGAGTACGAAAAACATCATCTCATTACATTTGGCGTGTTCGTCTTTTCTGTCCCCAACAGTCATCTACAGGGTGTAGCAATATTGTCTGGACACCTATTTGTTCGCCATATCTGCTCTCACAGTTTCTTTTCTGATGTTAGAAACGGGAAAATCGGATGAATACCTACGGTCAGAACTCAGAATCTTGGCTGCGTTATCAGTTCTCCATTCAGAAGTGGCTTGACCTTGCGAGGTGACTCTTGCTCTCAGTTAGGGTCGAGTCACCGCCGTGTTCACTTCGTAGTTTTCGTCCCAGACGAGAAAGGAGTAAAGTCTCTCCTGGCGTAGCAAAATTGCATGGCGGCATGAGCTAGAAGATGGTCTGCCAACAGCTGGATATCAGCAGCAACCACTTACACACCTGCCTGAGGCGTTATAAGCTGAGACTTGGGTGGTAGACTCCTCCCGGCCGCGACCGCACAAACCGCCCTTGTCAAGTGGTGTGGAGAGTTATCCAAGATTGTGACTACGAAACGACACCAATCAACTGCAAACTGACTCGAATGCTTACCAAGGCAGGCATTAAGGGATCATACACCATGATCCGTCACACCGCGCTGCAACCTGTTTCTGCTGCCATTCAAACCGAAAACGATAGCAAAACACCAGTGCACGTTCACTGGTCGGAAGAGGACACGGTGAGGTGGTCTGGTCGGATGGGTCGCCGTCCGAGGTATATCATCCTTTGAACCGTCCAATGGGCCGTGTGTGGGCGTCCAGCAGCTCGAACGTGCCGGCCGTCAACAGCGTCAGACATCCGGCCAAGATCCAGATCTGGAGCATGTTCAGCTGCTTTGCGGTGTTCCAGTTGGACATAGTGTCACAGAATACCACTACCAACGTCAAGTATTACCGGAGCACCATCCTGGCCAACGAGTGGTTGGAGACGCTCAACCAGACGGCACAGGAGAGCTCGGCTTCTGAACGCGCATTGATGCCTGATTTAGGCCACGCCGTCTTCAGGTGGGGCGGCGCGCCACCTCAAAGCCTCTAAAAGAACGAGAAGTGATGCCGATGGAACTCCCAATAATTCTGGGCTAATGACCTATGGCTCGGAAAAAGTCCCGATCCCAATCCAATTGAAACCTGTGTGCTCTTGTCCAGCAGATGTCTGAAGACATATCCGCCACAAGCACCGCCCAGCTGAAGTCATAGGTCAAGACGGCGTTGGTCCGCATCAAAGCCAGTGTGCTGGAGGACCCAGTGGCTGGAATGCTTCACAGCATTCGTCACTGTGTTCTCATGAAAGGTGGCTACTTTGTCATTTAAAAGTAAAAGCACCAGGTTGTTTTGCTTTTTAATTACAGCGGGAAGCCAAAGATGTGCGGATAATTTCGCTACACCCTGTATGGCTCGAAAGGCATCAGGCTGGATTTGTTCACCCTCTTTGTGAGACTACAACGCCGATCCTGAACATTTCACTGGCCCGGTCAATCAGTGATCATGTGACTCATTCACCGCAGCCTCGCTACACTGAAAAAGGTGCTCCGCGACTGCAGCGGGGCTCATATCTGTGCTGTTGAGCCACCCCCAGTGGATGTCGCTTGTCGGATTTAGCCACCCCCCAGTGGGTGTCGCTGGTCGGATTGAGCCATCCAGTGCGCGTCTGACGGCGTGGGTCGGTTGGAGCCACCTGCAGTGGGCGTTGTGGCCAACTTTGAAGAACGCCATGGCGTCGGAGCAAGCGCCGCTGCTGGCTGGGGAGACAGCGGTGGAAGACGGGCTGCCCCTCTATCCTGTCTGCCCCTCCATCCTGTCTGCCCCTCCATCCTGTCCCCGTGCTGTTTGACGGGCCGGCCGGCGATGTGCGCGCTGTTTGGGCGCCGACAGGCAGCGATTGAGTGATGCCGGCGAGCTGTGAGGGATGGCCGGCCTACTTCTCACACGTTATTGCAAAGGCACTCAAGGCCAGTGCTCTGCAGGTCAAGTAATAGCCTCGCATGCATCTAATATCCGTAATGTAGGCATCGCCACCAGGTCCGTTGTGCATCAAGCTGAGTGTTACATCCGTGATTTCAGTGGATCTGACGGTAAAAGTGCAGATCTGGATCTATGATTCCATTGGATCCACGGAACATCTGCCTTTATTTAATCTACAATGTCGTGGGCTTGGCTTACGGATTTGTGATCCGCGTGAATTTCACAGCATACAGTCTGTTGAATATTACGCTTACCTACTTAGACAACCCACCAGAATTAACTCCACGCAACTGTGAATTGCGAATTGTCGGCACAAATTTTTGTAGGGGAGACTTTGCGGATTTAAATGTTTTTATTATCAATCAAAATATAATTGTTGTGTCCCGACATTGATCATGGCGAGATCTGTGGATCCATTTAATACGAAAACAAAGTGAATGAGCTGTGGCTACCTAGCTGTGATCCCATAGGGGCATAGATCGAGATCCATGTGAACTTATCCCATATCCATGCACATTTCATATTCTACACGTCATGTGCCCGCTACATAAGCTACCGTGGTTTTGTTGATACCCTGAATTGCAAACGTCTTCAGCTTAGTGAAATGGTGTTGGCGTCAATTACGCCACATCTGGAGTAATTGTCGTAGAGTCGTAAACGATTCCTTTTATGACTCGAGGCATTCAGTGCTACCAAGACTCTAATTCATGAGTCGTGGTGCATGCGTTGCTTTCCAAGTCCCGCCGGCCTGGGTGGCCCTCACGACCCCCCGATCAGCCCCCCGTGGCGGCTGGGGGCTGGGTGCTGTACTCGTACCGTCCCGGGTCAGGGTCAGGGCCGCCCCCGTCCGCCGACCGTCTCTCTCCCGGCGCAGTCCCACGCGCGGCCGACGCAGTGCCGCGGGGTCGCCGCGCTGCGGCAGAAGCGAGAGTGCCGCGGCCGCAGGGTCGCCGGCGCGGCTTCCTGGCCCGCCGGGGGCCCTCCACACGACCTGAGGCGCGCCGCCACCGCAGCACAGTCTCAGCGCCGCACCGCCGGCATGGAAAACTTTATCGGCGGCACGGAGAACCTTATCGCCGGCACGGAGAACCTTATCGCCGGCACGGAGAACCTTATCGCCGGCACGGAGAACCGCACGCATACGGCGCGCGGTGGCTTCTCCGATGGTTCGGCCACAGACTTGCGGTGCGATGTTTTTTTTTTCTTACAGATTGGAATTGCGTAAGCAGCTGGTACTGACAGTCTGTGGCTGACTGGGCTGTCCCGGCTGCTGGTACTGAGAGTCTGTGACTGGGCTGTCCCGGCAGCTGGTACTGACAGTCTGTGGCTGACTGGGCTGTCCCGGCAGCTGGTACGGACAGACTGTGGCTGGGCTGTCCCAGCAGCTGGTACTGACAGTCTGTGGCTGGGCTGTCCCGGCAGCTGGCACTCACAGGCTGTGACTGGGCTGTCCCGGCAGCTGGTACTAACAGTCTGTGGCTGGGCTGTCCCGGCAGCTGGTACTAACAGTCTGTGGCTGGGCTGTCCCGGCAGCTGGCACTCACAGGCTGTGACTGGGCTGTCCCGGCAGCTGGTACTAACAGTCTGTGGCTGGGCTGTCCCGGCAGCTGGTACTAACAGTCTGTGACTGGGCTGTCCCGGCAGCTGGTACTAACAGTCTGTGGCTGGGCTGTCCCGGCAGCTGGTACTAACAGTCTGTGGCTGGGCTGTCCCGGCAGCTGGTACTAACAGTCTGTGACTGGGCTGTCCCGGCAGCTGGCACTAACAGTCTGTGGCTGACTGAGCTGTCCCGGCAGCTGGCACTCACAGTCTGTGACTGGGCGGTGGGCTGTCCCGGCTGCTGGGCCCGGCCGCAGGCTGCGGGCGCCCTGCCAAGGTGCCCGTGCAATGAGGCGTGGCCACGTGCCGTCAGCGGTGTGTGCAGCACCTGTACATAAACGCAGCCAATTACAGGTGATCCCCGCCCGGCCGCGCGTACATTGTGACTTCATCAGTCGCGGTGTTCGAGTTCCGGGTCCCATTTGAGGTTTGGCAGATGGCCTCGGTAAGCGGAGCCTGGCGGGCGGCAGAATCGCTGCATGTCCGCCGCCGGATATATAGTCACCAGCAGAGCCTGGTACGACTCAACAGGATGAAATGATAGGCTAGCCCCTTTTTCGAGACCACACCACCACATCAATGGTTAAGACACCTGCAAAGCATTTGCATATCAAGCACCTCTGTCAGCAGCCCAATCGTGTGTGCCACCGTTCTGATGTGACCACTGGGTGTGCGGACGGTGGGCGCCTGTGACCACCGTTGTGATGTGGCCACTGGGTGTGCGGACGGTGAGCTCCTGTCTGACGGGCTGTCCGTGTCCCCCAGCGGCGGCCGACACCGGTCTGCAGGGGCCCGTGTTCGTCCTGGAGCCGCCCAACAAGATCGACTTCAGCAACTCGACCGGCACGGTGGTGGAGTGCGCGGCACGCGGCTCGCCGCCGCCGCGCGTCACCTGGGTGCGCGGCGACGGCCAGCCCGTGGACGACGTCACCGGACTGCGACAGGTCAGTGCAGGGGAGGGGCACCGGACTGCGGTAGGTCAGGTCAGTGCAGGGGAGGGGAGGGGTACCGGACTGCGGCAGGTCAGTGGAGGGGAGGGAAGGAGACGTGACGCGCTGGACGTGACTGTTCAGCACAGAATGGGGGGGGGGGGGTGAGACGCGACAGATCACTGCTTGTGGTGGTAAGAGCTGCGGAGTAGAGTTCTGCACGGCTGCAATTTTCCACAGCCTAGCCGCCCCGCAGCCGTGGCTCCACAGCCACAGCCGCCCACAGCCGTGGCAAACTGTGGGCAGTCAGCCGTCAGCCGGCCGTGGATACTTTCAATGAAATGCAACCAAATAGTATATAATATGTTGTTTTTAGTTGAAACATATAGCCAAAAGCACATTGCAATGGGCTATAGATTCTCAAGCTCATGAAGCATCATAGGTTAAGTGGTTGTGTATCTGGCTTTAGGCCGAAGGCCGGAAGCCTGATGCGCATTGCATGCCTACACAAGCCCTTGCAAGGGGTTAAGAAAGATGGGTAGGTAGGTACCTACATCAACAGAAAACATAAACAACGAACCAGAATAGAAGCACTAGCAGTGTAGACATCTAATGCCAAATCCTGAAGCATGAGTGTGGGACAGAACAACAGACCCTGATGCTTTTCATTATCAATGTTAGATATGGAAAATGAAACTGAAGTTGATGGACTGTCAAACAGTGATTGTCTAGTCAAAACTCTTGCTTCTTTCTTACCTTGCATATTTTCTGGGGTGTGATATGCCAGGCTTGAAGCAGCCTTCTGAGCAAGTCTCAAACTAATTTGATATGCAAGGCATCAAAACACTAGTGAGCATCCAAGAAAGAAAAACATTCATCTAATTTGATTTTTCCGTGATTTTTCCAAATAATGATCTTCGCTCAACTCCCCAAGGACGTCCGAGCCACAATTGCCTCTTTCAATCAAAAATTTCACTTCAGTTTGTAATGACGTCAATAGCAAAGAAGTGGCAATAAATTGTTTTGTGTCACTATTAGCAGCCATAAAAATTATAATTAATAAATAACAATAATATACAGTCGAAAACTTGCTCTCAAACAAAGATTAATTATCAAATTTTTACATGTTCAGAAGAAGACGTCATTTTATTAGTAAAGTCAACAGCTCGCGTAAGAAATATTGTGTTCAGGGTTTTACCGTCATGTGAATTACGTGTTCAGGGTTTTCACCATCATGTGAATCAACCGTAAGTAAGGTTCATGCTCACTTATAATCTAATTCCATTGGCTTCATTGATCAGCATTTTCTGTTAGCGGTCACTCACACACCAGTTAGAATATAAAGCGCCAGTTTTATATTATGTAATTGGACTTGCCGAAAATCCAGAAATACATCTAAGAGTTATTTTAGATAATATTTTATGATGCCTTTACCTGCCTTTACCTAGGCGTGATTTCTTTTTCTATTACCTGAAAGAATTATTGAACGCTCGCCTTCAATAGCTGTAAAGTGCTCTCCTAATGACCAGGTGAGATTGATTTGAGAGGGATGTGACAGTGCAACATTTTGCATTTTCTGAAACTGTCAAGCTCTTGATGATGAAGGAACAATTGGTACCTATAATTAGCATTCTGTATCAGAGTGCAAACTCCCCTACAGCAAATGGTAAAACCATTACAGGTTTTCAAAGGCTTCACCACTTTCAATGTTGCTGGGCATCCTTTGCATGATTTTTACAGGCTAGACTGCTTATCAGAATGTAAGATTAAGGATTTAAAATTATATATTTGAGTACTTTAGATTGAGCTTGAAATCTCACAGCCGTGGCCACAGCCGTAGCCGTGTTCTTGGAGATATTTGCAGCCGCCCCGGCCCACAGCCGTGGGGCTGCAGCCAGCCGCGGCTGCAGCCGGCCGGTGCAGACCTCTACTGCGGAGGTCAGTGGACCATACGGGACGTGCAGCGATTTTTATCAGAGTGGATGGCGTGGGTGTGTATGGGGGGGGGGGGCAGTACAGTGCAGTTGATGTTTACAAGCTGTGTAAGGGGGAGTAACCGCAGGTTGGTTTGAAATAGACAAACACTATTCGTTAGTAGTGAGAGTTGTGGTGCCGGGCTATGGCAGACGGAACGGCCTGACGTACCGGAGGACGGCGGAGCAGTGGAGTAGGGCGTGCTGGCTTGTCCATGTCGGATGCTGCAGGTGTGCGCTGTGCAGGCGATTCAGGGTGTCGCAGTGCAGGGTTCGAGACGCGGACCCCAGTGCTGGGGGCCGGGTGGCTGAGAGACCTTCTGGCACGGGAAGGTCGTGAGTTCGCGGCCGACCTCGACCGGGCCGGCCCCGCGCCCTCCGGGGCCGCCTCATTGGCACTGGTACCGCCGCGCGCTGCCACAAGAGCGTGGGAACGGCGGCTGGCAGGCGCGTGCCGCGCCGACCCGCCACAGGGCGGCCGGGCGCTGCTGCGTGCGCCGTGCGCCGCGGGCGGTGGCTGCGGCGTGGCGGCCGTACCGCCGCGGCGGGTACGGCCGCTGTGGCCGTACCGCCGCGCTGCCCACGTGTGGGCCGGCCGGCGCCAGGTGATTCCGGTGCGGACAGCTGATGACTGCCGGCGCAGCTGCCGTGCAGTTCAGACAAGGTCGTCAGCTCGGCGCCGCGCCGCCCGCAGCGGGCCGTATCGGCCGACACCTTACCAGCGGCACGGTGGGTGCGCTGAGGATGTGGTCAGCTCAGTACGCCAGGAATTCGGTATGGGTCAAGGTGCTACCGCACCAATTCTAGGAGATATTCGGCGGCTATTTTCCTGTTGGCGGTGAAGCACTTCTGTCCAGCAGCCGGCACCGTGTCCAAGTTGTGTCGCCGGTCGCGGTGCGCCGCTGTTTACCAGTCACGACCGGCACGCACTGACCAGTGATCGGTGATCGGTGTGCGCGGCCCGGTGCCGGCGCACGTGCCGCGACTGGCCGGCACCGTGCAGTGTGCAGTGTGACCGGCGGCTCAGCGGCGCCGGACGGCCTTGAGTTGCAGAGAGGAGGGCGCCGCACAGTGATGCAAATGGGGCTCACGAATGGCCATAAATACGAAAAAGGCCCAAAATTCAAGTTCACTTAATCGAATAAATCGTAATATGATCAGTCAGGCAAATGTTTGGGGTGTCTGAAAAAGTATGATTTTAATGTTGTTGTCAAAACCGGCCTCGTGTAGGATTGTCAGAAGTCGAGACATTTTCGATGTCGTAAAATGACTGTCAGGTAGGTACTTGAAATTCAAGTGCCGCTAGCGTGCGTTCATGTCATACAAACTGCAAAAATTATACATGAAAATGATCCCCGAAACCTGCTGCTTCTAATGCCACGTCATAAAAAGCCGTATCTATTTTGGTTTGGCGGTGAGCTAACTATTTGTAATCATGTTACAACCGCCGTTTTTTACCAAAAATATTTGCTTTCAATTCACCTACAGCACTTCACACAGTGTGTGCCCATTTGTGCACCATATCATAGCATTCCCTAATCATTTCTGAGTCGCATCGTGAAAGAATTAAGGCGCTAGCACAGGGCTGACCGGCGCTACAGAAGTGTTCGTCCGGCACGTTCGGGTGCCGCGGCGCAGCGGGCGGCCCGGGCGGCCGCGCCGCCCGGACGCCGCGCGGCGGCACCCACCCGCCCACTGCGCGCCCACTGCGGCACCCGAGCGCCCGGACAAAAACCTCTGTAGCGCCGGTCAGCCCTGTGCTAGCGCCTTAATTCTTTCAGGATGCGACTCAGAAATGATTAGGGAAGGCTATGGTATGGTGGACTAACGGGCACACACTGTGTTAAGTGCTGTAGGTGAAACGAAAGCATTTTTTTTCTTAGTAAAAAACTGCGATTGCAACATGATGATAAATAGTCAGATTACCGCCAAAGCGAATGAGATACGGCCTTTTGTGACCTGGCATTAGAAGCAGAAGGCTTTGGGGATCATTCCCATGCATTATTTTTCAATTTGTACGAAATGAACGCAAACCAGCGGCGTTTGAATTTGCGAGTGTCTGACCGTCATTTTACGATCTACAAAATGTCACGACTTCTGACGATTATACACGAGGCCGGTTTTGACAAAAACATGAAAACCATGTGATTTCAGATGCCCCAAACATTTGCCTACTCGGCCATATCGCAATTAACTCGATTTGGTAAACTTGACTTTTGGGTATTTATGGCCACTCGTGAACCCCATTTGCATCACTGTGCGCCGGGGCGGCTCGCACGCGCCGCGCGCGCCGGCGTGTGGTGGAGCGGCCGGGTGGGGCGGGGCGAGCGATGGGTCAGCTTGTGGTCGACCCGCGGGGGGCCCTGGGCCCTGTTTCACGGCACGCCGCAGCAGTGCGCTACAGTATTGGTGCGGCGTTGGAGACGAATTCAGCTCGACGTTTCGGCGTTGCGAGCGTCCGAATCTGTTGATGTTTCCATGGAAACCCGATACACCGCTACGCGTAGCGCGCTGTGGCGCAATGAAACAGGGCCCCGGCTACCGCCGGCGTGCAGCTATGCTGCCTGCCACATTAGAGTGAGTGGATTGGATCCAGGATCCAGTCCACGGCTATCTGCCTTCGCTCTACTGTGACAGACGGCATAGCTGTCCAGTCCAGCCCAGTGCAGTCCGCCGGTCCGGGGACCGTCCCACCAAGCTGTGTCCTGCTGCACCACCACCAACAATTGCGGTCATCAGCTCGGCGCGACCGCCACCACCGGTGGTCCACCCGGTATGCTGCGGCGCCGGGCAGCCCCGCCCCAGCTGCACCGAGCACCGCTGTGCGGTGCACCGACGCGCACACTGCCGCCCAACAGTGCCACCCATCCCTTCTAAAGTGCATCACAGTGCCCGGTGATGAACATTTTACGGCGAAGCAGAGAACGCTGGGATGATGGTGCGTGCCGATGGAAAATGTAATGCCCTGCGCTATGAGTCGGCGACTATTTGAAATATTTCTACAGCGTAATAGGATTCTCCACTTCAACACGTTGGTCAATG